ACTCTCTCTCTCTCTCTCTCTCTCTCTCTCTCTCTCTCTCTCTCTCCCTACCTTTTCCTCCTCCCTCGTCTTTTTCTCTCGTTCTTTAACGAACCATCGTCATGCAGTACCATATGACCGCATTTCTTCGAGAATAAGCTTCATCGCAATGTCATCTTCATTTCTTTTATGTCGACATTCGTCGGCCATGCGTAAATGCGTGTAAGGGATTAAAGAATGTGGAGCAGTAACACGCTATACAACTAAAGAAGCTTACAAATGCAGTGTACCTCGCGGTAGCTTTGGTGAGATTATACGGATACTTCACAGCATCCTTTCCTTTTTCAGCTTTATATTCAAGCGCGAGATACTTTGGACGAGGAAATTTGGCATAATTTTTAAAATAATACGTAATATTAACAAAGAACTCTCAACAAAATAAAAACAACTCAACAAAATAAACAATTTATATTAAAACGTAATATTAATTTAGTAGACCTATATCGCCATCGAGCTGTGTGCAAAAAGAGATAAAAGAGGTCCCTGCACTGCTGGACTTTTATCTCACAATAAAATGAAAAATTGAAGTCTTGCGCAATAAAGAGCAATTTCACGAGCAAACAACTGCAATTAATTACGATTCTAAATAAAGTATTTATCCTGCCGTGAATGAAAAAATTGCGTCAGAGATAAAACTGTCCCGCTTCAAAATACCGTATTATTGATCAAGTTATTTCTTAATAATAAATATTATTTAATCGAAATGCGGATACCAATTATCGTATCAAAAAAACATTTTTCAAAACGACACTGAAAGCATATGTGTCTGCAACAACGACATAGACGTCGCTGCTATTCGCATGTGATGAAACGTCATCTAACGATGGCGAAGCCAATACTCGCTGGCTATTACGCACGACTCATTAACGATAGCCATTGTTTGATGCGCGTATCCATTTCGACACAAATGCCAAGGTGACTGTATGATCACGATTGCTGCAAATGCTGAGTCTTAATTAATATGCGAATCTTAGGAGAGGTATGGGTGTGCATTGCCATGGAAACATGCATTAAAATCGTCGCCAGCGAATTAACCTCCCTAATTAACAACCGCGGGCTCTCTCGCGATAGCGGGATATTGGGATATTAAAACGAGAGATGACACATATATGTTGGAAAACTTTCATCGACACGCACGTGTATTCGAAATTAATTTTCGAGAGGGAAAATATTATTACAATATTAAATCATTATGTCACCAACAGTCGAAAATTCTATTTATAACATATTTTATAAATCAATGATAAAAAAAAAAAATAAAAA